TCTCCATTACTGTGTTCTATCTTTACATGGTAGTCCATTCTCACTTTGTAGAGCGCACTTCTTTTCCTAGGCCCAGACTCATTCTGCAGAGCATGTTTCTTTTTCCACTTTTAATAAATGTAAAACCTCATTGTCTTTTGCACTTGTCTTGACCAATTCTTTGCTAGGGACAGAAAGAATCTAGAAACCACCTCTAAAGACTCTAGCACCCCAGAACTGGGTAACAATAGGGTCTTGATAAGTCACAAAATTGTCCAGGCTGGACTCAAACTTGCAGTCCTCCTGCCTCAGCTTCCCAGGGTGCTGGAATCACAGGCCTGCACCACCAGGCACAGCTTACCTCACTCAATTTTTAACCTTTTTCCTTTTCTGCTATTCTTCCTGTCCTGCTGAATTTGAATTCCTCTTCCAATAATTTCTCTTCTGTGGAACTTTGCTTTGGATGAGAGCTTTTATTTGCTAGGTCAAAGAATTTATAAGGCCCACACTCCCCTAGGACAATCACACCATTTCTCAGAGTCCTTTTGCCCTCACTTGCCAGCTGGATCCTACAGAGCTCCTCTCTGCTCTGACCGCTGTTCTTGAATTTCCAGAGTATGGTACCTGCTGGGGGAAGGGTGGGTTTCTCTTGTGTTCAGGATGATCTGATACCCACTATTTCCCCTGCTTCTTCCTAAGTGCTAAATAGCATCCACTTTAGAATTGAGTTGTTGCACATATTGTAGGTTGTATATATTGCCTATCTGGTTTTGGTTACACTAACCCAGTGGAAGTTTACGGAATAATTCAGGTAGATAAAAAATTATTCTTTCCAGAATTAGTGACTAGAAATTTTTTTTTGAGACAGTCTCTCTCTGTAGCCCAAGCAGGTCTTGTACTCTTGATCCTCCTGCCTCAGCTTCCTCAGTGCTGGCATTATAGGCATGTACCACCATGCTCAGCCATGACTAGATATTTTGTTCATTGATTTTCCTATGTGACCATGGTTGAAATCAGTTGTTCTAAACACAGATAATCCTTGTTTAACAACCGAGTTCCATTCCTATAACTAGGTCATTAAAAGTATTGGTCACTAAATGAGGATTTGTATATAGTATATACATTACAATATTCAGAACAAAGAAATGATAAAGAAAACTCCAACTTGCTTTTATTTGCATAACTCTTACATGCAGTACCGTAATATGTAACAGAACATAAACCTATAATACTGTACTATAACAGTACAATCAGCAAAAATTATAGTACTATATAAACCAGATATACTGTACAAAAAAAGACATTAAGGCTCTATAAGTAAGATGTACAGAACTGTACCAAAACAAAAAAAGGTGAGTTGTACCTCTGAGTGTCAGGTCGTAATCTGAACAGTCATTAAGTAGGTAAGTTGTTAAACAAGGAATATCTGCATTAGACATCATAGTATCAAAATTTTTCAATGAAAATTGTTTTTCTTAAGAACACATGCTGTCCAATAACCTTTAATATAAAATACAGCAGCCACCAATAAATCACATCAGCTGAGTTCAGGCAATATTGATCCCTTACATGTCAGAAAAGGCAGAGATGAAAATGATTCAGAAACAGATGCAATCAGGATGTGGTCTTTAGCAAATCAATAAAGTGCCTATGTTTCCTCACATACTCTTTCCTGGCATCTTAGCAGCTTCCCTGAGTTCTTCAAGGTTACACTGATCACACAGTTGACATTGCTGGAAGCTGTGCTTTGAGTGTGCAATTTGGGCTCCTTAATGAAGGAGCTTCTGCAGGTCATTGCAAGAGACCAGTGAATCTAAAATACCACTAATGAGATATCACAGAACCATGAACCTTCTTGACTCTGTAAAAATCACTGGAAATGCCAAGTATCCTTGACAGTGAGACTGCCATTAATAGAGCCACTGCTCTGTCTGCCTCTGCAGTAAATACCTTGGAGGATAAAAAGACGTATAAAGTATGTAATAAAGGTGCTGACTAGCCAGGGGTGTAAGACAAAAATTAAACACGTAATACAATCACAGAGTCAAGAACAACAATGATAATTAATTGATCAATTGTTCCCTGCAGTTCAGAAGTGTAAATATAACCCTTGAGAAAAATATGTTCACCCAGATGATATGAAACACTTACACATATCAAAAAGTTTCAAAGGTAACATCACTTCTAAAGATTGTTTATATCTGCAAATTTATTTAACTCCAAATGAATCAGTTTTACTATTGCCTGAGGAGCTGTTGAAAACAATAGTCCTTAGAAGTGAGCCCAATAAAAAGAGTGCACTGAGGGCTGGGGATGTAGCTCAGTGGTGCCGCTAAAGATCCCCAGTACTGAGAAAAAAGGAAAAGAGTGCACCGACAAATTTTTCTGGCCCTTTGACAGCTGTTCTCCCTGTACCATATCTGACCAACAGCTCTCACAAGATCATGCTCCATATCACTCCCTTCTGCATCAAAAAGGCAAACTACATATTTTTTTTGCCTCAATACCCAAAAAATGTCAGGTAGTTTATTTGTGCCCAGTATCAGACATTATAGAAAAATACATATTTTGAAGACATTTGTCTCTTCATGAATGCCATGTCTAAACATGGTTTGCACGACATGGGTAGTGAATGTGCCCACACTACAGTAAGCTATAGGCACTCCTCATTTAACGACTGAGTTCTGGTCCTGAAATTAGGTTGTTAATTGAATTGGTCACTAAATGAGAAATTGTATATAGTTATGTACCTTACAATATTCAGAACAAGGAAATAGTCAAAGGAAACTCCAGCTTGACAACTTTGCTTTTATTTGCATAACTCTTACACACAGTACTGTATTGTATAACAGAACATAAAACTACAGCACTGTACAGCACAATCAGCAGAAATTACACTACTGTATAAACAAGTTAAACTGTACCAAAAAAAAGACACTGAGGCTCTATCAACAAGATGTACAGAACTGTATGAAAAAAAGATGGATTGTAAATCTGAACAGTGTGCCTCAGTCATAAGTTGGAACAGTCATTAAACAAGTAGGTCATTAAATGAGGAATAATTGTACTCCAATTACTCCTTCCTGTGGCATTTGTTCCTCACGATCCAGTTTCCAGCACGTCCCTCTTCTCCTGCTGCCCTCATCTACCTTGGTAATCTCAATATCTTCCATGACGTTGGTCTTTGCTTCCATCAGTATTACCACAAAGTCCCAATTGTCTCTTCTAACATTAGACTCATATATGGCCTGTCCACTCTGACACTCCTTTTGTATATCTCCTGGGCAGCATGGATTTAACTTGTTCAAATTTTCTCCTCCTGGTGTTCCATGTCTCAGTTACTCTAGCTAGAAACCTGGACATCAGCCTCAATTCCTCTCCAGCCTAAGCCCCAATATTTAACCAATCATCAAGTCTTCTTCATTTAAAATCTCCATCCTCATGTCTCTGAAATGCATTCAAATTATCCCCTTGATTGTTTCTGTGGTTGAGGATATCATTTCTGAATTATTATAACTTATTCTTAACTGGTTGTGTGAATTATTATAATATTCTTTAAACATTTTAATTGACATAATTATACATATTGATGGTGTATAGTATGATAATTTAATACATATATAATGTGTCATGATCAAATCAGGGTAATTAGCATTTCCATCTCTTTAAACATTATTATTTCACTGTTGGGAGCCTTCTAATTCCTTTCTTCTAGTTCTTCATAAACCAAAATCCAGTTTCTCCTATCTGCTCTTCCCTTTACTTCTTAGCCTCTAGTGACCACTCCTCTCTATTTCTATGAGACCAACTTTTCAATCTTTCACATAAGAGTAAGAACACATAGTATTTATTTACCGTATCCGTCTTCTTACCCTTAATATAATGTCCTCCAGGTCCTTCTATATTGCTGCAAATGACAGCATGTCACGTTTAATTATTGCTTTTTTTTAATGGTAGTGGGGATTCAATCCAGGACCTTTGCACTGAAGCTACATCCCCAGTGTACTGTATTTATTTTGAGACAAGTTCTCCCTAAGTCACTGAGTTGGCTAGGCTGAGCTCTGACTCACTATCCTCCTGCCTCAACCTGAGAGTGCCAGGATTACAGGCATGTGCCACCAGGCCGGGCTTTAATGCATTATTCTTAACTGGTCATCCCATTGTTCACCTCAGTACATTTTTCCTATAACAACTGAAATGATCTTTCTTGTCATTTCACCCATTACATATGATAATGAATGAGCTAGTTCTCTTAGAGGACAAGACACGGATTTAATTTTAATAGTAGAATGTTCCAGGCATGTATTTAGTTTTAACAGTAGTACACCGTAAGACAGATCTGTCTTGCTACCTCTAAGCTTTTAACAACCAGGCAACTTTGTTCTGAAAATTAATTTTCTATCCCTGTTAATGTTCACAACACAATGTCTCATGCTCAACTGGCCCTGCCTGGTCCCAGCACTTTCTGGGCACTTTCCACGAATTTAAAAGTTTGTTTCTCCAGATCTGAGAGCCTCGGGGCAGGCGCAGGTACAGAGGGTACAAGAAACCGGACCCCGGGAGCAGAACTTTAGTTCGTATTCCATCCATAGCCCGCACTGATCACAGGAGTCCTGACCCTGAGCTTGGTGCCTTCAGCAGAATCCAGCTCCTGCCAGATGCGGGCTCCACTAGCTGGCCAGTACAGAACCCCGCCTTTCCATCTGGACACACATCCTGGTTCCGGCCCATCTCCCAGCCAGGGCCCTCACCCACGTGGCGATCCCGCCCCCAAAACCGGTCCCGCCTCCACGACCCAGCTCCCACTCCTTCCTTCCACGCGGATTCTCATCAGCTCCATTTCCGTCTGGGCGCTAATTGCTTCGCGATTCTTCTTCCCCAGGGGTCCTGCCCAAACCCCGCCCACCTCCCCATGGTCCCGCCTACCTCGATCTCTCCACGCCCCCCCCAATTTCCCCCATGATACCGCCCCACTCCCGTTCCCCGCCCAGCTCTTGGCCCCGCCTCCCGCCACGCCCACACCCCTGTATTCTCTATGCAGACCCTGCCTTCAGCCCCGCCTCCACAACCGGCCGGCATCCCAGACTCCCAGCTCCCCTCCAGGCCCGCGCTTCCTCCAAGAGCCCAGCCCGAGCCCCTCTTTCCGGCTCAGGCCCGCCCTCCGGGGGCGGAGCTGGGCCAGGTGTGGTCTGGGCGTGGCAGGCGCCAACCCAGGTGCAGTTCCGTCAAGATGGCCGCCGCGTTCCGCCTCTCTGCACCCCGGGCTCGGCTGCTGCGCGCCGCCCTTGGCCTCCTGTGCTGGGCCCCTGCGGCTGTGGGCGCCATCCCCGAGCTCGGGCTGTGGACTGAGACGGTCAATGACGTAAGTGCTCTGGGGACCGAGGCACAGCGCAGCGCGGGGCACACTCGCGCCCGGGCCGGGCCTCAGGCTCGTTCGCCCGCTTACGCCGGGCCCGCCCGGCCCCAGGACGACTCCTGGGGCTTTGTGTGCGAGGGGCGCCCTTGCTCTGCCCGACTGGGCCTCGGGGAAGGGGTCTTCTGTTCTCCAGCAACTCCGTTCCCGAGTCCTGCCCCTAGCTCGGCTCCGACGCCGTCCGGCTGGGTCGTGTCCTGGTGTGTTTATACCAGAGCCCGAATCCCTCCGCACACCCAGCGGCATCTTTAGCCTGGAGCACACTCGTGAGGCTCGGGACCACTGTCCAGCCTTTCTGTTGCAGCATCGACTTAGAAACCGTGTGCACCACTTCCACTTTTTCTTTGGATGAGGTGGACCTTGCTGTGGTCACCGCACTGCTCTTTTCCTTTGGGTTTTTGCATTTCTCGAGGGCTCCCATGATACTTACTCGACTGTGTGAGAGTGTGTGTGTGTGTGTGTTTGTGTTGGGAGGGGGGTGTGTGGAGGGGGGCGGGATGTGTCTGGACACACTGGTGTGGAAACTTTACTAGGATAGGCCAATAGAGAACTTGGCCTCCTGTGGTTAAAGGAGACTATGTGGGGGGAATGCGGGGATTGAATTATGGAAAGTCTTGTGAAAGAGACAGGAGAGTGGAAGAGACAGTATTGCCTTCTCTTTGGGGTCAGATGACTCATCTAGTTGTTGGGTTATTTTCCACATGAATTGAAATTATGTTCAAATTCTAAAGGTGAAATGTATATTTTGGTTTCTTCAGCCAGAAAAGGTAGTATCAGAAGCTACAGATACAACTCAAGGGCCACACAGAGGAACAAATGTAAATGTTTTTCTATATCTTTCAGATTCAGTACAGCCATTTCTTCTAGGATTCTTCTGAGTTGGTGCCTTGTGTTGTTCATCAATGGTATTGATATAGGACCTCTAAATGATATAGGGGAAACAATATAACTCCCAACCTGTTAGATGTCAGATATGCCGAGTTTGTGTTTCTTAAAATCGAAGAATGAATTTTAATGAACAGCGGAGGTTAAAGGTAGGAAATATCCATTGAGAGGAGAGATTTTATCTCCTGAGAGGCAGGAGGGGACCGAAATGGGTTTCCGAGGACTCCACTTCACAGGGCAAGTTTTATAGAGAAAAATCAGAGGTGGGTACAAAGTGGGACACAACCAATAAGGTTACAAGTATAGCCGGTTAGGTAATGATCCAATGGAAAACAGATCACATACCAAGTGTATATAGAAAGCGGAAAGATCTTTTCTAAGAAATGATGGATCTGGAGGTCTGGGTAACCCACTAGAGTGACTGATGTCTATCTAGATTTTATTAGGCCTGGTGTTACCACTTATCTTATCTCTTGGGGAAGTATGTCATTTTGTCTTTATCTTGAGGCTTGGTTTCTAAGAGATGTGCCTCTGGCCACAATTGTAATGTGTTTTTATCTTTTGTACTGACTCTGTCCAGGGCCTAGCCCTGTCTGATTGCCTAGAATATTATTTACCTAACTTAGCTGTCTGTAATAGCATAACCTGTGCATCTCCATTAATTGAGTTACTCTGAACAGTAAAAAGCATAATGAGGTTTGTAATATTTCTGTATTGACTGCAACTTAGCAAATACCATAAATGAAGAATAAAACAATGCAAGTGAATCAGCAACATGCACACTGTTAGTCTACTTGCCTGTGTGTGTAAAGATCATTGCAAGTATACTTTGGTTGATGAGAATCCAAAAGGCCATGAGGGAAGAATGAGCTTGGTTCTTTCAGGAGGAACATTTTTAGGTGCTGGGAATTCAGTCAGGCTAACCACTTCTAACTTTACTGCTCACTAACTCAGGCCAGTAGTGACCTATGAAACCCTTCTTAGCAAAAAGTGGGCTGGTTTTTTTTTTTTTTCTCCAATATCAAATTGTTGGAACTTTCATTTAAGAATAAGAAGAGGGAGTGGGACTTTCTTTTGTTTGTCCTGCATCCAGAAATGGTTCTTTTGACTAAAAGTTCAGCATTTTGAGCACCACTGTGTGCCATACACTAGCTTTATCATTGCTTTTGCCAAGAAGAATTTTAGACCCACCCCATTCCTTCAGGAAGCTTGCACAAGAATAGAGACAAGAGATAGATGTGTAATTCTATACATAGGAGGATACTCAGGATATTGTAGTAGTGCTAAGGAACCAACCTAACCCACTTTCTGATGGAGAGGTGTGGCGGGTCTCAATGAATAGATATATTTTCTTTTTTTTCATTGGGAATTGTACCTTTATATAATGCATCTTGGTTCTTATTTTTTCCCCATTCCTAGCCCTCCCTTCACGCCCTCCACCCTTCCC